TTTATTGGATTATAGGTTTTGGGGTACATGAGCAGAGCATGCAAGACAGTTGCGTAGGTACACACATGGCAGTGTGCTTTGCTTTTCTTCTCCCCTTCACCCACATTTGGCATTTCTCCCCAGGCTATCCCTCCCCACCTCCCCCTCCCACTGGCCCTCCCCTTTTCCCCCAATAGACCCCAGTGTTTAGTACTCCCCTTTCTGTGTCCATGTGTTCTCATTTTTCATCACCCACCTATGAGTGAGAATATGCGGTGTTTCATTTTCTGTTCTTGTGTCAGTTTGCTGAGGATGATGTTTTCCAGATTCATCCATGTCCCTACAAACGACACGAACTCATCATTTCTGATTGCTGCATAATATTCCATGGTGTATATGTGCCACATTTTTCCAATCCAGTAAGGACACATGTACACGAATGTTCATTGCAGCACTGTTTACAATAGCAAAGACCTGGAATCAACCCTTTTGTTTTGTTTTGTTTTTTGAGGCTAGAGTGCAGTGGCACAATCTCGTCTCACTACAAACTCTGCCTCCTGGGTTCAAGCCATTCTCCTGCCTCAGCCTCCCAAGTAGTTGGGATTACAGGCATGCACCACCACATCCTGCTAATTTTTACATTTTTAGTAGAGACAGGGTTTCACCATGTTGGCCAGGCTGGTCTTGAACTCCAGACCTCAAATGATCCAACCACCTCATTCTCCCAAAATATTGGGATTATAGGCGTGAGCCACTTTGCCCAGCCCCAAAATTCCTCTTCTTATAAGGACACCAGTCATATTGGATTAGGGTGTACCCCAGTGACTTCTGTTCAACTTGACTACCTCTGTAAAGATGCTGTCTGTATATACAACCATATAGGTCCTGGGGAGGTCAGGACTTTAACATGAATGTTTTTCAGCATTATTGAGGGGGCATAATCCTACCTATAACACACGTAATGACATTGCAAATGCATTCCCTCCCAAGGCTGCCAGGCCTTAGCCTTGAGACAGCGAAAACTTATCACAGGGGTTCTGAGGTGAGCAGAGGTCAGGGCAGGCACTGGGTATGAACCTAACCTGCTCCACTCCTGCTTGAGTCAAGGCTTTCTCCTGGTGTACCCTTTGACCACACAGAGCAGCCCAAAGAAGCAGGGCCTGTTCCTCCCAACCGACTGACAAATGCAAAGTACTATAGCCACTGAAATGCAAAGTTCAGTTGGAAATAGCTGCTGCAAAATGCTGGTGGTTCACAGCTTATATGAGTGTGGCACATAGAAATGCATTAAGTGGACCAGGCACATGGCTCACGCCTGTGATCCCAGCACTTTGGGAGGCCGACCTGGGTGGATCACTTGAGGTCAGGAGTTTGAGACCAGCCCTGTCTCTGGTGAAACCCCATCTCTACTAAAAATACAGAACTAGCCAGACGTGGTTGTGCATGCCAATAGTCTCAGCTACTTTGGAGACTGAGGCAGGAGAATCACTTGAACCTGGGAGGCAGAGGTTGCAGTGAGCCAAGAACACAGCACTGAACTCCAGCCTAAGCGATGGAGCAAGGCTCTGTCTCAAAAAAAAAAAAAAGAAAGAAAAAAAAATAAATGTATCAAGTGTAGGTTAATTTGAAATGCATAATAAAATAAATGTCTATCTAAATAACCCATGGTACAGTTTTGCCTGTTTGGGACATTATATAAATGAAGAGGGAACACTCTCAAAAGGAAAACCATAAAGTAATTTGATCAAATCTGAATCTCATTATAAGTAAAAGGCCCAAACAGCTTTCCAAAGTAACTGAATGCACTATATTGGGGTTTAAAATCCATCCGTTTTCAGGATATCAGTCCATATGATTTTTATTGCTTGTAATTGGCATTGGCTTGAAGTTCAGTATGAACACCAACATTTGGGCTCAGAGCTTTGATAATAGAGGAACTGCCTTCGTTTTGAAACAAAAATGTTTAAATGCACCACAGACTTGTTTATAAAGGCTGTGTGTTAAGCTGCCTTTCTACAGGGCAATGAAGGATTTCAAGCATAAAATATATTTGGGAAACTTCATTTTTAAGGAGCCCCTTACTTAGGTGATATTGTTTTGTTTTGTTTTTTAAATAGAAAATCTTTAACCAGAACATAAATTTTCTTCAAAATTACAGAAATCAAAGTACTATACAACAAGGTCATAGCATAAATCTCAAAGTCATCCCAGATATACAGTGAACATCTACTCAGAACATGGCTTGGAAAACTTTTTCTTTTTGACCTTTTTGGGCTTTTTTTTTTTTTTTTTTTTGAGACAGGGTTTCACTCTGTCACTCAGTCTGGAGGACAATGGTGCTGTGACCTAATCATGGCTCAATCCAGCTTCCACCTCCTGTGCTCAAGCAGTCCTTCCACCTCAGCCTCCCAAAGTGCTGGGATTATAGGCAGAAGCTAGCATTCCCAGCCAAGAAAACTTTTTTCCTAAAGAGCCATGTGAGGGCTGAATAATAACCTTGCTTCTGTCCAAGTTCTAATTCACAGAACCTGTGACTGCTACCTTATATGGCAAAGGGGACTTTATAGATGTGATCAGATTAAGGTCACAATTCAGATCCTGAATTGTCAGGTGGGCCCCATGTAATCACAGGCCCTTATGAGTAAGAGAAGGTGCTGTGAAGATGGAAGCAGGGAGTGATGCCAAGATGCTAAATGTAGGCTTTGAATGCAGAAAGGGCCAAGGAATGCAGCTCTGAAACCTGGGAAAGGCAAGGAAGTGGACTCCTCTAGAGCCTCAGGAGGGCAGCATTCCTGCTGACACCCTGATTTCCACCCTGTGAAACTGGTTTCAGACTTCTGGCTTCCAGAACTGTGGGAGAATTAATTTGCGTCATTTTAATGAACTAAGTTTGTGATAACTTGTTACAGCAGCAATAGAAAACCAGACAGTAAATATTTTTGGCTTTTCCTCCCTGTCATAACTGTTGAGCTCTGCCACTGTAGCACAGACACTGGCACAGGCCAGAGTCAGCCTCGTGGGCTCAGCCAGGGATGGAAGCCAGTTGGCAGTTGTGTGACCAGGATTCTTATGATCAGCATCAGCTTAGCTCAGGATTCACAACGACCCAACCACTGAGATGGAATGCTGGAGGCCATAACAACACACACACACACACACACACACACACACACAGAGAGAGAGAGAGAGAGAGAGAGAGAGAGAGAGAGAGAGAGAGCACGAGCAAGAGACCGGGAATGGTGAGACTACAGAGTTGTGGGTAAAAGACAGTCTTTTCAATCAATGAAGTGGGAAAATTGAGTACTCCTATGAAAATAAATGGAACTACACCACTACCTCATTCCACACACCAAAATCAATTCAGAGGCATTATTTACCTAAATGGGAAATGCAAACTGTATTAGTCTGTTCTCACACTACTATAAATAACTACTTGAGATGAGGTAATTTGTGAAGAAAAAAGGTTTAATTGACTCAGAATTCCACATGCTCTACAGGAAACATGGTTGGGGAGACCTCAGGAAACTTACAATCATGGCACAAGGGGAAGGAGAAGTAGGCATGTCTTCACATGGCCAGAACAGGAGGAAGAGAGAGAAGGGAGAACTGCTGCACATTTTTAAATAACCAGATCTAGTGAGAGCTCACTCACTATCATGAGAACAGCAAGGGGGAAGTCTGCCCCCATGATCTAATCACCTCCCACTCAGCCCCACATCCAATCCTCAGGATCACAATTCAACATAAGATTTGAGTGGGGACACAAATCGCAAGCAATAAAATAGGTCAAAGATGGTATGTGAGAGTATTTCATGACCTTAGGGAAAGATACCTTAAACTTTCCCTAAGTTTAAGAACACAAAGAAACACTAACCACAAAAGAAAGGAACTATAAATTTCATAACCCTAAAATTAAGACCTCTCTTGCAGACAGCATAAAGATAAGGATGAACTGTTGATAATGATCAAAGTTATATGACAGGTTTATAAGAGTTTATAACACTATTTTTCTAGAAAACAAAACAAGAGAAAAAGACACCATGAAGAGAGTGGAAAGGCAAACCACCAAGTGGTAGAAGATATTTACAACTCATAATTAACAAAGCGCTCATCTTCAGATGCAGATTGAACTTCTATGAATCAATAATGAAAACACAAATTACACATTAGAAAAATGGGCAAAAGATTTGAGCAGTCAGTTCACAAAAAAGGGTATCAAAATACCAATAACAATATGAAAAAATTCAGCCTCATTAAAAATTAGGGAAATGTAGATTAAAACCACAATGAGCTATCCAGCACAAAGGCTAAAATGGAAAAGACTGAAAATTCCCTGTGTTAAGGGTGATGAAGAATAGGAACCCTCATACACTGCCAGTAGGAGGGTAAATTGGTACAATTCTCAAGAACACAATCTTGAATTATTTACTAAAGTTGAAGATATACATGCCCTTGGTCTCAGCGATTATATTTGTAGGTATATCCCCTAGAGAAATGAATGCACAGATATATGCATAAGAACATTCAAGGTACCTTTATTTATTAAAAAAATGGAACAAATCAAAGGTACATTGTAGAATGAATAAATAACTTGTGGTATTCCATGCACTGGAATGGAATATTATATAGAAAAAGAAGTGAGCAAAGTGATACATAATAGCACAGATTAATCTTCCATATAATGGAATACACATACTTTAATTCCATTCTACATAGTATCCATAAATGGGCAAAGTAAATCATAGTGTTTAGAGATGCAGACTTCAATAGTAAAAGCACAAAGAAATGCAAAGAAGGATCATGACTGGGAGGTGACTTGTGAGGGTGCTTGTGGATTGTGAAGGATTATACGGGTGTTTTATTTACACTCTTCTGCTACACTGAACATTTATGGTCTTGCATTTTTAAAAATGTATGTGTTACTTTTCACAATTTAAATATTTTAAAACATAAAAAGCAGGACAATTAGAAAGCAAAATGTAAGATGTGAGAACTAAAGTGAAGTATATTAGTAACTCAAATAAATGTAATTCTGCTTAATGTTTCAGTTAATAGACAAAAATTTCAAGTTTTTGTGAAACAAAATCTAGTTTAATGTTGCTTATAAGAGACTCCCCTAAAACATAAAGCTGCAAAGTTGTCACTATCAGATGCATGTGAGTGTTCCCTGAAAGACCCTATTTGAAAGAGATGCCTTTATTTTATCTAACTCAGTGCTCACCCAGTGCTAAAAGTTAGAAATAAAAGTGGGAACATTATTACCAACCTTAGAGAAATTTTAAAAAGCTATAAGAGAATACTACAAACATTTGTATGCTAACAAAGTAGATAATCTAGATGAAATGAACAAATTCCTGGGAACACACAACCTACCAAAATTGATTCAAGAAGAAATAGAAAATCTTAACAGACCTGTATTGTTATCAGTAATCAAAAAACTCCCAACAAGGAAAAATCTATGTTTCACTGGATGAGTTCTAGCAGACAGTTAAAGAAGAATTAACATCCATCCTTCTCAAACTTTTTTTTTTTAGAGGGAAAAAGAGAAAAAGAAGGGGAAAAAAAGAAAAAGAGGGAAAAAGGAATATTACTTCATTCCTAGAATGGGTTTCAATAATGGCCGATCAATATTTTGAGTGTTTAAAGTGGTTAATGCATATTTTATGTGTTTAAAATGGAGACCTCTATTGTGTTTATTTGTTCTGGCTCTGAGTTCAAGTCCTGGATATCGTTATCAATTTGTTGTCTCGTTGAATCTAAATCTCATTATGTGTCTTATGTATCTGGGTGTTAAGATCTCTTATTATTACATTAATCCTTTTACCCTTGCATCCTTGTAGCTTTGAAATCTATTTTATTAAGTGTGAGAAATGCAACTCCTGCTTTTTATTTATTTATTTTTGCTTTCCATTTGGTTGGTGAGTTTTTTTCCATCCCCTTGAGTCTTTGTATATCTTTAGATATATCGTTAGATTTTGTGGATAATGTATATTTTGTGTGTTTAAAATGGAGAGCTCTATTGAGTTTATTTGTTCTGGATCTTAGTTCCAGTCCCGGATATCGTTATCAATTTTCTGTCTCGTTGAACCTAAATCTCATTATGGGTCTTATGTATCTGGGTGTTAAGATCTCTTATTATTACATTAATCCTTTTACCCTTGTATCCTTGTGGCTTTGAAATCTATTTTGTCAAATGTGAAAATTGCAACTCCTGCTTTTTATTTATTTATTTTTGCTCTCCATTTGGTTGGTACGTTTTTTTTTTCCAACCCTTTATTTTGAGTCTATGTATATCTTTGGATATACCGTTAGATTTTGTCTGTATCTTTTGATTGGGAGATTTGGTCGATTTAAATTTAGGGTTGCTGCCATTTGATATTAACTGGCTATTTTGTCCTTTCGTTGATAAAAATTCTTCTTTATGTTAATGCTCTTTACTTTTTGGTGTATTTTTAGAAAGGGTCATACTGGTTGTTCCTTTCTGTGTATAATGCTTCTTTTAGAAGTTCTTGTAAAGCAGGCCTGGTGGTAATAAAATCTCTGAGTACTTGCTTGTTCCTAAAAGATTTTATTTTTCCTTCAAATGTAAAGCTTAAATTGGCAGGATATGAAATTCTGGGCTGAAAGTTCTGTTGATTAAGTATATTGAATATTGGCCCCCACTCTCTTCTAGCTTGTAGGGTTTCCCTTGAGAGATCTGCTGTAAGCCTAATAGGCTTACCTTTATGGGTAACTTGATCTCTCAAACTCTTAAAAAGAAAAACAAGAAACCAGAACAACAACAAAAGAGGAGAGAACGCTTCCTCAACCATTCTATATATGAGGCCAGCATTAACCTGATACTAAACCAGACAAAGATGTGGAAGTAAACTACAGACCAATATCACTTATGAATTGAAAATACAAAAAATCTTCCACAAAATACTAGAAAACTGAATCCAGCAGCATATAAAAAGGATTATGCACCACGAGCATGTGGGATTAATCTCAGAAATGCGAAGGTGGGTCAACATATGAAAATCAATCACTGTAACTCACCACATTAAAAGAATGAAGGGAAAAAAGCCACATGAGCATCTCAATCAATGCAGGAAAAGCATTTTTAAAAATTGAACATACTTTTAGAATAAAAACACTCAGAAAACTAAGAATAAAAAAGTGACTCATTCAATACAGTAAAGAAAATGTATGAAAAACCCATGGCTAACATACTCAATGGTAAAAGATGAAAAGCTTTCCCCTTAAAATCAGGAGCAACACAAGAATGCCCACCTGCACCACTGGTATTCAATACTGTACCAGAAGTTCTAGCCAGAGCAATTAGGCAAGAAAAAGAAATAAAAGACTTGTATACTGGAAAAGAAGAAAACTCTCTATTCAGAGATGACATGAACCTTTATTTGGAAAATCACAAAGAATGTACCAAAAAAACCTACTATAGCTAACAAATTAATTCATCAAATTTACAGTATATGGAATCAACATGAAAGTAAGTTATGCTTCTATACACCAGCAATAAGCAATCTTAAAAGTAAATTAAAATCAAACACCTTTCACAACAGTATTCAAAAGAATAAAATATCTAGCAATAAATTTCACCAAGAAAGTGAGAGACTTGGGCACTAATAACTATAAAATAAGGCTGAAAAAAATTAAAGAAAACTTAAAATAAATTTTAAAAACTCTGTGTTCATGGCTTGAAAGATTTAATATTTTTTCAGAAATGGCAAAGCCAATGCTTACATGTATATGTAATTGCAAGAGGCCCTGACCAGAACAGTGTGGTATGGGCATAAGGATATCTAGATTAAGGGAATAAAATTAGGAGTCCAAAAATGTACTCTAACACATTTTCAGTCAGTTGATTTTCAAGGAAGGAATCAAAACCCTATGGTCAACTTATTTTTGACAAGGGTGGTGAAACCATTTAATGTGGAAAAAAATGGTTTTTAACAAATGGTGCTGGGATAACTGGATATACATGCAAAAATATGACTCTGGACTCTTTTCTCACATCATACACAAAATTTAATCAAAATGGTTCAAAGACCTCAATGTAAGATTTAAAATCAGAAAACTCTTAGAATAAAATATAGAGGTAAATCATTATGCCCTTGGAGTAGGCAACAATTGCTTAGATATGGCATAAAAAGCACAGACACTCAAAGAAATAATAAATTGGAAACTTTTAATTAAACAAAGCAAATTAAAAATAAAATTTAAAACTGTGGCCATTAAAGAAAACTATCAAGAAACTATAAAAAGGAAACCAGGAATCGTAGAAAATATTTTTAAACATTCAATACATTCTACACATCTGATAAGGGTCTAACATTTAAAATTTGTACAGAACTTTTATACACTCACAGAGAGAGAGAGAGAGAGAGAGAGAGAATGAGAGAGAAAGAGAGAGAGAGAAAGAAAGAGATTTGTTTTAAGGAATTGACTTGTGTGACTACAGAGGCTAGCTAGTCTAAAATCTGCAGAGTGGGCTCGCGGACTGGAGCCCCAAGAAAAGTCAGTGTTGCAGTTCAAGTCTGAAGACCATCTGCTGGCAGAATTTCTTCTTGCTCTGGTGTGGTGTGCTTTTTGCTCTAATCAGGCCTTCAGCTGATTGGATGATGCCCACCCACATTATGGAAGGCAATCTGCTTTACTCAAAGTCCACTGTTCTATATGTAAATATCCAAAAACACTCTCACAGACACATCTAAAATAATATTTAACTAAATATCAGTATTGTGGGCTAGACAAGTTGACACATAGAATTAACCATCAGAAGTCTACCACTTGTCAACCTGCATTCATATGTATCTGCTTAAACCATACTTAATCTCCAAACCAGGACAACAACAAGGTCATACTTCTTCCTAACATGATAAACCCCTGCATACAATTGAAAGTGCGCTAACCCTTTCCTCAGAAGAAGATACAGTGTTTAGGTGATGTTTGTTCTTCTCCTTGATATCGCATAACTTTAATACTATGATGTAAAGTTAACAAATACTATGACATAAAGTCAACACATTGTACAGTACATAATGAGGGATAAGAGAGGGAAGAAGTATTACCAAAACATATTTATAACCAAACAAGGAAAAAATACTCATAAGTACAGTCCTAATTTCCATCACTGGTCATTTAGTCATGACCAGTCTTCCACTACCCATTCCATATTCCTTTTGCCCTCAGCAAACACCTCAGCTGGTTGTGGATCTTAACCTGATGGGGCTACCCCAACTTTTATTCCTAAAGGGGTTGGTCATGAGTAGTCCTGCCTAACTGGTTGTTGTAGTTTTCCATTCTATAATCACAGGGTATTCACAGTGTTGGGCAACCACCACCTATATAGTTTTCTATTGCTTTAGCTCTCATATTTAGGTCTTTGTTCCATGTGGAGTTAATATTTGTATATGGTGTGAGGTAGGGGTCCAACTTCATCCTTTTGCATGTGGATACCAAGTTTGGTATATAAAAGGCCTTTATGGTAGAAAATATTTTGGCAGAGGGGACAGCAAGTGAAGATCCAGGTGCAGACAAATGCCACCAAACAAGGAATGACTAAGGTGTTTCTGCTAGACTATAGTATAGGTATTTCTGAAAATTACTGTGTTGTACTGCAGACAAAAAATAAACAGAGGGTATTGGAATAATAGGATTGTAACAGACCATTCAAATCATAAGGAGGTTTGGAACCAGAACACTAATGAAAACCACAATCCTAATGAAAAATAACAGCAAAGTTAAAAGGGCATGATAAATTGTTACAAACACACATACATATGTGCATATCTCTACAAACATACTATATTAAACTGGGAACTTGACCTTTTAAGAAAGATGAAAGTATATTGGAGAGAAATGATATGATGAAAGATTGATGCCACTGAGTTATAAAGACCAAACAGAAATGTTTGTGAGAGAACAAGGGGCCACACTAAGTTGGGAGGGACTGAGTCAAAGTCACAACAGGCAGAGACTCATATTCTTGAGTTATACTCTCTTAGCTGTGTTGTTTGCCTGAATTCAGATCCTCTTACTTTGAGTGTAAAATATTAATGTGCTGGGGGAAAATCCCATACAAACCAAGACACTTTCCACATACCATTAAACTAATCCACGGTACAGAAATGCACTGGAACAAAATATGTTTTTTCACCAAACAATTTCAGAATAGAAAAAAAGAAAACATTTGACAATGCCTTTCATGAGGCTAATACTTAGTACAAGAAATAAAATTTACAGGCCAAACTAAAGAATATAGATACAAAAATCCTAGTCCAATATTTGCAAACTGAAATACATAAATGTCATAACCAAGTCTGGTTTGTCCCAGAAATGCACTTTAGCAGATTAATGACTTAGGAAATCTATTAATGTAATTCACTGCATTAACAGATTAAAGGAAAAACATGATCATCTAAATGGATGCAGAAAAAGCATTTGATAACATCTAATATTCATTCATAATTTTAAGTGTTTCATAATCTAAGGATCCTCTTTAAAATGATGAAGTTATCTACTAAAAGCCTACAGAAAATATTGCATTCCATGATGAATTATTTGAAGTATTTACTTCCTTTAAATCAGAGCAAGACAATAATTTCAATTATCATTCCTTCTAGGAGGCACTAGTCAGTGCAAGAAAAAATGAAGTATCATGATTGATTTGGAAAATACACACCTTTCATCATTTGCAGATTATATGATTGCTTACTATGTTAGGGTTCTCCAGAGACAACAAAGAATAGATAGATAGAGAGATAGAGAGATAGAGAGATAGACAGATAGATAGACAGACAGATAGATTGATTAGATAGATGTAACATACAGGGTTACCTAAGTACATAGAGTTATTTACTTATCATATAGACAGATATATAATATAGATTTATTAGAAGGAATTGGCTCATGCAGTTATGGAGGATGAAAGGTTCCGAGATCTACAGTTGGCAAGTTGGAGACCCGGAGAGCCATGGTGTAGTTCCAGTCTGAGTCCAAAGAGCTGAGAATCAGGAGAGCCTGTAGTGTAAGTTCCAGTCCAGCCAGTAGCCTTGAGACCCATGCAAAGCTGATGTTTCAGTTTGAATCCAGAAAAACTGATGCTTTTTCTTGAGTCCCAGCTCAAGGCAGTCAAGGCAAGAGGAGTTTTCTCTTACTTGGGAGAAGGTCACCTTTTATATTCTGTTCAGAGCTTCAATTGATTGGATAAGACCCACTTACACTGCATTAAAACAATCTGCTTCACACAGTCCACTGATTCAAATGTTAGCTCATTCATAAATGCCCTCACAGACACACTCAGGATACTGACTGGCAAAATGTCTGGGTACCCCACAGACCAGTCAAGTTGACACATAAAATTAACCATGATAACTACATAGAAAATAATATATAAATATAAGAGCAATTCTAAAATAATTTGCATTGTATATACCAGGCACAAAAAGTTAGAAAACGTAACTTAAAAAAAGATTCCATTTATAAGAGCTACAAAAATAGATAGAATAACTAGAAATTATCTAAACAAAGATGGGCAAAAATCTTTAAGGAGACTCTTAAGACACTTTATTTAAAGACTTAAGGAAGAACTAGATAAATTGGGTGGTTAAAATGTCTATAGATAGCAAGACCCAAAAATGTAAAAATTCTGGTGCTTTTCAAATTGATCTACAGATTAATGTAACCCCAAACTATATCCCAAAGGTATTCAGATGTTCACATGGAAACATGTTGATTGTAAAATATATGTTGAAAATCAAAGGACTAAAGATAATCAGCCTCTTCAAGGATAAAACAAGATGATGTATCACAAAAATATATTAATTTACATGCAATAAAAATGGTGCAGATTTAAACATATAGATGGACTCTATAGAATACAGAGTCCTTAAAATAATTTATGCATGTATATGGAAAATTTATTAATGGAAATCCATATATATGGAAAACTGACTTTTAAATTTATAAGGAAAAGGACAAATTATCAATAAAAGATTTTGAGTAAATTAGGTAACTATAATGAAAAAGAATGAAACTGGATCCCTACCTCACACCATACATAGAATTAATTCTAGATGGATAAAGACAAATGTTAGAGGGCTGGGCACAGTGGCTCACGCCTATAATCCCAGCACTTTGGGAGGCCAAGATGGGTGGATTACAAAGTCAAGAGATTGAGACCATCCTGGTCAACATGGTGAAACCCTATCCCTACTAAAAATACAAAAATTAGCTGGGCATGGTGGTGCATGCCTGTAGTCCCAGATACTCGGGAGGCTGAGGCAGGAGAATTGCTTGAACCCAGGAGACAGAGCTTGCAGAGAGCTGAGATCGCGCTATTGCACTCCAGCAACTGGGTAAAAAGAGCGAAACTCCATCTCAAAAAAAAAAAGACAAATATTAGAATAGAGTTTAAAAAAATTTTTAATGATTTTTATATAGTGATTTTATATAGTACAGTGATTATTTAATATGGTTGAAAAACACTAAACATTCTAGCCCCAAAGTAAAGAAATTATTAAATTGCCTATAAAACTACAAACTTTTGTTCACCAAAATATACCATAAAGGGAGTGAATATTGTTGCCACAAACTGCTAGAAGACATTTGCAATGCAGTTAATTGACAAAGAAACAACAGGCATAATAGGTATAAGACATGAATCAATGAAAAGACAAAAACAACCTATGGAAACATCGTTAGAACACTTGAGGACATTTCACAAAAGAAGAAACTCAAACTGACAGTAAACACACAAGAAGTTCAACTTCCTTAAGAATCAATAAAATTAAAATTGAAACATCAATAAGTTACCATTTCACTTTTTTATCCCACCTGATTGAATTTCAAGAAACTCTCATAAAACATTTTTACTGTAAATTGGTTTAATCACTTCATAGTTTGGCATTATAGTGTAAAGTTGAAGATACTGTGAAAGGAAAATAAATCTTGGGGTACCAAAATCACTCAGCTAAAAAGTCAAGCTGGGAACTGCTTAGGGCAAATCTGTGTCCCATTCTATTCAAAGTTATCCCTCTGTTCACTGAGATAAATGCCTATCTGATTGCTTCCTTTGGAAAGGCTAATCAGAAACTGAAAAGAATGCAGCCCTGCAAGGTGGCTCACACCTGTAATCCCAGCACTTTGGGAGGCTGAGGTGGGCAGAAGACTTGAGGTCAGGAGTTCAAGACCAGCCTGGCTGACATGGTGAAACCTCATCTGCATTAAAAATACAAAAATTAGCTGGGTGTGCTGGCAGGCACCCGCAATCCCAGCTACTTGTGAGGCTGAGGCAAGAGAATCGCTTGAACCCAGGAGGCAGAGGTTGCCATGAGCCAAGATCATGACACTGCACTCTAGCCTGGGCAACAAAGTGAGGCTTCACCTCAAAAACAAAACAAAACAAAACAAAAAAGAAACAAGAAAAACTGAAAAGAATGTAACCATTTGTCTCTCACCTACCTGTAACTTGAAAAACCCTTCCCTGCTTGAGTTGTCCCGTCTTTCTAGATGAACCATTGTACATCTTACATAAATTGACTGATGTCTTACATATATTGATTGATGTTTTACATACATTGATTGATGTCTCATGTATCCCTAAGATGTATAAAACCAAGCTGTGCCCTGACCACCTTGGACACATGTTGTCAGAACCTCCTGAGGTTGTGTCACAGGTAACACATCTCAAGTTTGGCAAAATGAACTTTCTAAATTAATGGAGACCTGTCTCAGATATTTGGGGTTCATAATGCATATACCCAAAGCCCTGCAATTCCACTTCTGCAAATACCACCCCCCCCCAAAAATTTCTCATTTTATGGACACCTGGATTCAATGAGCATTGTTTGTGGAAACAACTCACAATGACCACTGACAGAATAGTGAATAAATAAATTGTTATAAAGTTGCACAATGTATACTAAAGAACAATCAGAGTTAAGAATTTCAGTGACATATTTCAAAATAGTTGAATCTTACAAAAACAACTGAGCAAAACAGCAAGCTGGAGAAAATTAGATATTTTATGGATACATACTTGGAAATGTTATTTATTTATTTTGAGATGGAATTTCACTCTTTTTACCCAGGCTGGAGTGCAATGGCGTGATCTCGGCTCACCGCAACCTCCCCCTCCTGGGTTCAGGCAATTCTCCTGCCTCAGCCTCCTGTGTAGCTGGGATTACAGGCACGCGCCACCATGCCCAGCTATTTTTTTTTTTTTTTGTATTTTTAGTAGAGACGGGGTTTCACCTTGTTGACCAGGATGGTCTTGATCTCTTGACCTCATGATCCACCTGCCTCGGCCTCCCAAAGTGCTGGGATTACAGGCGTGAGCCACCGGGAAATGTTATTTTTTAAGAAGCAATGGAATAAGAAAAATCCAGGAGGATGGTTACTACTGGTGATGGTGGGAAATGGAGACATTAATAAGTAATAATGAAAATAATAATAACATTATAATATCTAGTAGATATATAGTGTTTGCTATTTACCACTGTTCGAAGTGCTTTTGATGCAGGATTTTTGCTCCATAGCTTAGCTAAGTCCGGGTTTTTGTCTCACAAGCAGGAAGAATTAAGCACACAGACATTTGAAGAGTGAGTCAGGCAGGGAGTTTTATTGAGTGCTGAAACAGCTCTTAGCAGGGAGGGAACATGGAGGTGGTCTCCATACCTTAAGGCAGGAGTGTTCCCAATATGGCTGAGTCCAGGGCTTTTTATGGGCTCAGAATCGGGAGTGCGTATTGCTTGGTTTGTGAGAATGCAAAAAAGGTTAAAGTAAAGGTACCATTCAAAGGTTGGCATGATAGTGTGGAACACCAATTAGGAAAGGGTAGGTATATGTAAAACAGGTGAAGGATCGGGATCAATCACAGGAATGCGTGTCAAATGGGAAGGGGGATTCTCAATCTGGTCTGAGGATTTACGCAGGACTGGTTTTGCTGGGGACCTGCCCCTCTCTGCCTTTGCCTCTATCATTTTTATGTTTTATACCTCAGTTAATCCTCACAACAAGCCTCTAAGCAGTTACTTGTACTTCTTCCATCAGCAAAAAAGAAACTGACTTACAGTTCTCAAGCACTGCATCAAATGTTTCCTAATTTAAAAATAATAAACCACAGAGTAAACATTATCAATATTTAATACATGTAAGCAGAAAAAAGGCAGTATAATTGTTGCTGTTTTTAAATTTGGAAATAGGGATGTAAATTCCAGAAGAAATGAATAAGCTTGAGAGAGGTATCTTCTAGCTGTGGTATCCTCTTTGGGGAGGAGTGGTACGGGGCCTAATGTTTGATAATGGAAATTTCCCCTACCAATTGGCATATATACTATGTGCATGCATTTCTTTGATACAGATAATTTACAGAGAAGTATAGCTAGAATAAAATGTCAGACAGAGCTGGTTTCTGGATGGGCAAGTTCTTTTTCTGTGCTTTCCTCAACTGAATAAATGACACAGAAGATATTGTTATGGATGAATTACAAAGGCATTTAAATATTAGAATGTCATGAAAGACTGCACAAAAAATTAAGACTAGTACAATATTTGTAACAAAAAGATACAAATATCGAAAGAAAACACTAAGTCCTTGTTATAGAATAAAGAAAAAAAGGTAATATTATGGCTCTCATACAAATATAAAATGGACAAATGACAAGATTTTTATCTAACTAATGAGGGAACCAGTAAGATTTTTTAAATCAGTTCAAAGGAAACCTCAAAGAACCACGCATATATAAGCTGAAATGAATTTACAAATGGATGCACAAAGTTTCTATTCATAGGGCAACAAGAGTTTATACAGCATCTTAACAAAAGAATATATTTGTAGAGAAGTGGCAATTGCATTCTACCAGACACAATCAATCTGCATGTCTATAAACAAGAACAGTTTGCATTATTAGAAGTTTTAAACAACTTCCAGGATTGTAAAATAGTTTAAAGACAAAAGGTTGAGGTAATCCCTAAGGGCATTCCAGCCTGGACATCCAGTAAATTTTTTGGTCCATATTAAAGTTTTCTCATTTTTTTTCCCTATAGCTTCAAGACATAATTGGGAAAGAAAGAATTAATAATTAAAAGAAAATAGATGAAAATAAGTATATGAGATAATGTTTTATAAATCAAAGAAATGTTAATTATAGTACAAAATATTTATACACACATAATGCTTATTTGTTTAAAATTACAGTAACTCCTCACATTGTGCCAGATCTCATTTTTATTTTTATTTTGTTTATTTATTTTTTTGAGATGCAGTCTTGCTCTGTCACCCAAACTGGAGTGCAGTGGCGTGATCTCAGCTCACTGCAACCTTGGCCTCCGGGGTTCAAGTGATTCCCCTGCCTCAGCCTCCTGAGTAGCTGGGACTTTAGCTGCATGTCACCATGCTCTGCTAATTTTTTGTATTTTAGTGGAGACGGGGTTTCACCATGTTGGCCAGGCTGGTCTTGGTCTTCTGACCTCGTGATCCACCTGCCTCGGCCTTACAAAGTGCTGAGATTACTTTTATTAAAAATGATGGCATGAGCCACCATGTCCAGCCATCATTTTTAATAACAATTGAATTTTAGAATAGTTTCCAAAAGTTACAAAAAGAGTACAGTCACCTTATAACCCACACTCACATTATGAACATCTTACATTCATCCAGTGCATTTCACACTGAAGGGAAGAACTTTTTCCCTCTGCCCTCCTGGGTTCTCCAGCTGGGGTCCAGCAAATTAGACAGATAAAAGACAAATTTGGCCAGGCCCAGTGGCTCACACCTGTAATCCCAACACTTTGGGAGGTCGAGGCCAGCAGATCACCTGAGGTCAGGTGTTTTGAGACCAGCCTGGCCAACATGATGAAACCCTATCTCCACTAAGAATACAAAAAGTAGCAAAACATGGTGGTGCATGCCTGTAGTCCAAGCTACTCGGGAGGCTGAGGCAGGAGAATCACTTGAACCCGGGAGGTGGTGGTTGCAGTGAACCAAGACTGCATCACCACACTCCAGCCTGGATGACAGTGTAAGACTCTGTCTCAAAAAAATAAAAAATGATAGTGTTAGTGTAGGGTTTTGTAGACAAGTTGTTTTGTATTTCTAGCTTGGTGACAGATTTTATTGGGAATGGATGTTGCATTTTCAAGTGCCTTTTCTGAAGACTCTGTCAAAACAGTAAGATGGGACAGTTGTAGGGCTCAGCTCGTTTGATCTCTGGAACAAATGTCCTTTATTGCCTGATGTCTCATGTGACATGTTGTCTCTTGGTGGTGTTGGCAGTGTTTGTTTAAGGTGGGAGAGTAATTCCAGTCTCTTTTATTCTATCTTGGTCACCAATAGTAAACAGATTTTTATGGCATTTGATACATTTTAATCCAATGTAGCTATTACTCTTTTTGGTGATCAATTCTTCCACCTTTGTTCAACAGAACCCCTTCAGCTTGGTTCCTGTGTCCTTTTGACATGACCCTTATGATAGCTTTCCTGCTTTCAGCCACCACACCTAACTTGGGCCTTCCCTCCTTGGATTCATCATAAACCTTTTGTGTTCAATGCTAATCTAGAGACCATGATTTGGTAGCTAATTACTACTGGATTGTCATTCCTTCCAGGCTTTGCAGTGAATAGGAACAGGGACTTTTTTTTTTTTAGAAATAACCAAAAATCGATTGTTGATATTTTCAATTCAAATATTAAACAATAGGCTTTTCACTTAACTTTGTATAAATTTTCTTTGTGTTTCTTCTTGCTTACTCTGAAAATCTTGGCTATTGACATTAATGTAACTGTTTATTTTCTTTATCCTGTAATATGTATATACATTTGAATTTATCACTATAATATTTTTGGCCAGGTGAGGTGGCTCATGCCTGTAATCCAGCACTTTGGTAGGCTGAGGTGGGCGGATCATGAGGTCAGGAGATTGAGCCCAGCCTGGCCAACATGGTGAAACCCCATCTCTACTAAAAATACAAAAATTAGCCAGGTTTGGTGGCATGTGCCTATAATCCCAGCTACTCGGGAGGCTGAGGCAGGAGAATTGCTTTAACTCGGGAGGCGGAGGGTGCAATGAGCCAAGATTGAGCCACTGCACTCCAGCCTGGGTGACAGAGTGAGATTCTGTCTCAAAAAAATAATATTTTTATTATTAAAAATATTTTAAAAATAATAATCTTTTACTATTAGTAAGGATATCAAATGTAGCTTAAATTACTCTAGGGCTGGTTACAAAGTCATATCAGGTTTCTATTTGCTCAGTGCCTTCTTATAAATATTTAACATACCTATTTAAACATAAAAATGATATACATGTAAAGTTAATTGGTATCTATGTCTATTCCCCTGAATAAGATAAGAACCTTAGCATGCTATCATATTTTCTATTCTTCACTGTCACTCTCTTTTGTAATCATCTGGGTTTTTCATCATGTTATTAAATTACCTTCAAATATGCCTTAAGAATTATTTTGACTCAGATACGTTTTACTTGTTAATTTACTTATTTACTTACTACAGTTTCTTGTAATCATCCATGCAAGTTTTACTATCTTGGATTCCTTCCTTCCTTCCTTCCTTCCTTCCTTCCTTCCTTCCTTCCTTCCTTCCTTCCTTCCCTCCCTCCCTCCCTCCCTTCCTCCCTTCCTCCCTTCCTCCCTTTCTCTCTTTTGACAGGGTCTCACTCTGTTGCCCAGCCTGGAGTGCAGTGGTGAGATTTCGGCTCACTGGTCTCACTCTGTCAGCTCTCTGCTATTTCCATCTCCCTGGCTCAAGGGATTCTCCTATCTCAGCACCCCACCCCCATCCCCAGTAGCTGGGACCACAGGCATGCACCGCCATGCCTGGCTAATTTTTTTTGGGCAGGGGGAGAGATGGGGTTTCACTATGTTGCCCAGGCTGGTCTAGAATGCCTGAGCTCAAGCCATTCGCCCACCTTGGCCTCTCAAAGTGTTGGGACAACAGGTGTGAGCCACTGTGCCCAGCTGGATCTTCTTTCTTTCTTTTTTAAAAATGAATTACATTAATTAATTCTATCAGAGATATTCTATGGATTGGAATCGATGTAAATACATTCACCTTCCAAATGCCTTTGCTTCACACACAATCCAATGCAAGATTGGAAGGTTACAGTATTCACAGAATCGATAGTATTCTATTTAAATTCCAAATTATTTTGTTTGAAATCTGAGGACATTGCTTCACACCATCTTCTAGAATCCATGTTGCTGAGAAGTCTGATGTCAGCTGCACCTTTGGTTCACCTAGAGAGTGGACATTCTTGCTTCTCCCCTTTCTCAATTTCCTCTCCCCTTCCTAATTCTCAACAGAACCTTGATTTTGTGTACATGATCTGCATCACATCCAGCTCCTGAGGATCAGGGTGGAGAAAAGGAAGAAACCTGTTTTTCTGCTTTGTTTTGTTTGATTTTTTTGAGATGAAGTCTAGCTCTGTCCCCAGGCTGGAGTGCAATGAGGCAATCTCAGTTCACTGTAACCTCCGCCTCCCGGGTTCAAGCAATTCACCAGCTTTAACCTCCGGAGTAGCTGGGACTACAGGCGCCCGCCACACACCCAGCTAATTTTCATATTTTTAGTAGACGTTGGGTTTTGCCATGTTGGCCAGGCTGGTCTCAAACTCCTGACCTCAGGTGATCCGCCCGCCTTGGCCTCCCAAAGTGCTGGGATGACAGGCGTGAGCCACCATGCCTGGCCAAAACCTGGTTTTTGATGACATCACAGAACCACTAATTCTTCTGTAGCTGGAGTTGGCTCCAGTGATTTCTTGCTTTGCCTTATTCATTTCAGCCAATTTGAGCAGTTTCATCTTCTATTACTTGCAACAAATAACGTATGGCAACCTTTTATTCCATCTTTTCTGGTCACTTTTAGGGGTTTCTGTTTATCTTCAGAGTTCTGATATTTCATCGAGGATATATTTTTTATGGGCCGTCCCTACCCTTGCTCATTCATTATGTTAAACACCTTACATTTTATTTAATCTGAAGACTCAGGCCTTCCTCAGCTTGAATGTGTTTTCTGCTATATCTCTATAGGTATATCTCGGCTATATCTCTATTTTTTATCATTTCCCCCCTCCCCATTTTCTCTGCTTTCTTCTTCTGAATCTTTTTATTAGATTTTGGATCTCAGAGCACCTATCTCCTGCATGTCTTCCAGACGTTTTCTCAATTTCTGGTATTCTGATGGTATTTTTCTAGAGTTGTATGAAATTTGCTCCTTTGAAAATTATATATGTATGTGTTTGGGGTTACTTTAAGGAATATTAAGAGAAAAAGGGAGGTTCGCCGCCTTACTTTTATTTTGTAAATCTCAATGCTATGTTGTACTGCCAATAATCATCTATAACTGTTATATCTTTTTTCATTTAAATTAATATTTAAACATAGAAATAACATATGGTCCAGGAGTGGAATTGCCAGACCATGTGTTAATTCTATGTTTAATATTTTTGAGGAACTTCCATACCGTTTTCCAGCACAGCCGTACCATTTTAAGTTCTCACCACTAATGCACAAGGATTGTTTACTGGTTTTCTTTTTTCCCCAAATTTTATAATAGCCATCCTAATGAGTGTGAAATCGCAGTGGAGGTTTGATCTGCATTTCCCTAATGATTAGTGATGTGCATTATTATCTTTTATCAATATAAACATCCCATTTTATTCAATTTATTACTTTGAAATGATCTTTGTATTACTGTAACATCGTGATCCAAGGTTACTTTTTCATATTATCTTCCTGACATCTCTTAGTTCACCGCTGCATTTTCTATCTTCAAGTACCCTTTGTGTTTAGGCTTGTCTCTGTAAACCCTAATGTTTGATATTTTAAAAACCAACACTTACTGAGCACATAGTATTTGGTGTGTACAGTACCAGTCACTGAAGATGCAGTTGTGATGATAGCGCTGGGAGACGGGGTTTATTTTACGATTTAAAGACGTCACTTCAGGCCGGGCGCGGTGGCTCACGCCTGTAATCCCAGCACTTTGGGAGGCCGAGGCGGGTGGATCATGAGGTCAAGAGATCAAGACCATCCTGGTCAACATGGTGAAACCCCGTCTCTACTAAAAATACAAAAAATTAGCTGGGCATGGTGGCGCACGCCTGTAATCCCAGCTACTCGGGAGGCTGAGGCAGGAGAATTGCCTGAACCCAGGGGGCAGAGGTTGCGGTGAGCCGAGATTGCGCCATTGCACTCCAGCCTGGGTAACAAGAGCGAAACTCCGACTCAAAAAAAAAAGAAGTCACTTCAAAAGAAGTGAGTATTATGATGAAGGAAATACTGGGTTTATGCTTTTGTTTTACTCTGAGGGCCAGTAAATATGTAAAGATTACAAAATTTAGACATAATTCCTTTTTAATTAAAATTGCAGTAGGGACTGTAATAGTTCTCTCACCACCTGCGAATAATCAGCAGCAACTAGTCTTCCACCCACATTTAAAAATTCATACTCACTTTTCCGTCTTACTATTGTTGTCATTCTAATTACGAATACAGTGAGTGCCTTAGCGGAGGAAAAGTAGTTGGAGCCCAAGCTGAGGGACTCGGCTTCAGCCTTCTCGAACTCCAGTCCGACCGCGTTCTCCGGTCTCGGCGCTGTGGTTTCCTCTTGGACACCATAGGGGGTGGTGCCGCGACGACGTCTGGGAAATGAAGTCCGGAGGGACAAACGCTGGCGGTTCAGCCGGGGAAAACCTTCGGCTCTCCGACGCGCAAGCGCAGTTGAGTCCGGCGGCTGGCGGCGGCGACGGGAAACGTCTCGGAGCTAGGTGTTCCGCTCGCCTCCTGTGCGGTGTACAGCTGCGCGCCCCCGCCGCGGCGGGCCCGGGTATAGGCTGCAGGTGAGGGCGTGCCCGTGGCATGCGGCTGCAGCGGCGGGACCAGGACGAAGGCCGGCCGCTGCGCGTGTCCGCCGAGCCTGGGCTCCAGGCGTCTCAGCCGCGGCGGCCTCGGCAGGTGAACCTGGCCCCGGAGGGGGCGTCGCCTGGGAAGGGCCCTGCGGAGGCCAGGAGAGCGCGCCGCCACTGCCGGGCGCCTGGGCTGCAGCCTGGGCCAGACTCCAGAGGAAACGGCCCCAGGAAAGAAACCTCAGAACGCCGCCTCGATTCGGGGTCGGAGCCCTCGGGGAGGTTTTCCGCTCTTAGCGTTTGTGGGTTTAACCTTACCTCCACTCCGTTTCCCGGAGTTTAAACTTTACATTTACTCGTTTTGGCAGTCTTGCTCGTTTGGCAGTGTTTTCCTGCACAGTCAGTCCTAGAGTGATTTGACTATTTCCTTTTTTATTTACTATAACCTTGTCCACTTGCTAAGTTGCTTCCCATTTCTCTAAATTTTGAATCCATTTGTAGCCAGTTATGGTATTCTCTTGAGCCCTTGCTTTTTGGGGGTGGGGAGAATGAGTAACGCTTCCTTTAAGCAGCTTTGATAACTGTTTTTGATAAAGAAAGTAAAACTTAAAGGAGGAAGAAAAGAGGACTAATTTGTGGTTGGCTGTTCCTAAAAAGGGCGTCAGTTCTTCAACTGCTGTTTTTCGTATTGAACAACATCCAACAGCAGATGTGTGGAATATTGTCTCATTTCCTGTTAACTTCAGCATCTGGATGAGCCTTGCCTGATTGTGCCCTTGACCCTGTTAGTGCACAGCAGGTGGTCTTCATTCCCTTTGCTCCATGCGTCTTTATTATAAAGCATGGTGGAAAGGTAGCAGGCCCAGTGACTGTGTGCCTGCTGCCCACACTGGTTTAGGTGGCCGGGCTCAGGGCCCCTCTTCCCTGGGCAGTGCCAGGCTCCTTCTCTGCAGTTGCTCAGCTTGTGGCTTCTGCCTGGTCTGGCCTAATGAGGGTGGGCCTGCAGGTGGGATGAAAAGACCTCACAGATTGTTTCTCCATTCCAGGTGCCTTCTCCAAGAGGGGCAGCAGGGAGGGAGAAATGGCAAGGAGGGTGCTGCCAGCCCAGGTACAGGTGAGTGAAGGCTTCTTTTTGCTTGAAGTGCCTTCAGGGTATACCCTATAGAGGTGGTAAACTTGTTCATCTGTTGTTGAGCTTCTCTAACCAGTGAAGCTCAGGGAAGGACTGGAGGCCTTGGTAGCCGAGGAACTCTGGAAGGAAGAGGTTTCCCTTGCTTCACAGCCAGTCTCATACATTTTTTTTTTTTCTGAGACAGGGTCTCACTTTATCACCCAGGCTGGAATGCATTGGCATGAACATGGTTCACTGCAGCCTCAGCCTTCCTGGTACCTGGGACTACAGGTGCACATCACCATGCTCAGCTAATTTTTGTATGTTTTGTAGAGACAGGGTTTCCCCCATGTTGCCCAGACTGCTCTCAAACTTCTGAGTTCAAGCAGTCTGTCTTCCTTGGCCTCCCAAAGTGCTGGGATTACAGGCATGAGCCACTGTGCCTGCCCAGTCTTATACCTTTTTTTTTTTTGAGATGGAGTCTTGCTCTGTTGCCCAGGCTGGAGTGCAGTGGTGCGATCTCAGCTTACTGCAACCTCTACCTCCCAGGTTCAAGCGATTCTCCTGCCTTAGCCTCCCAAGTAAGTGGGATAACAGGCATGTGCCACTATGCTTGTCAAATTTTTATATTTTTAGTAGAGACTGGGTTTTACTGTGTTGGCCAGGCTGGTCTTGAACTCCTGACCTCAGGCAATCTGCCCGCCTCAGACTCCCAAAGTGTTGGTACTACAGGCATGAGCCACGGCACCCAGCCCCGTCTTACACTTTTTGACAAAGAATTTAATGGAGCTCCAGCCCCATGCCATTGCCACTCCCAGAGCTTTGTGAAAGATCCAGGTATGTTTTTGCCCCGTGGAGGACAAAGACATGGAGGAGTCAAATAGTTCCTTTCTAACACTGAGAATTTGAAAAAGAGAGGCCTTGTATTCCCAGCACTTGGGAGGTCAAGGCCAGGGAATCACTTGAGGTAGGGAGTTAGAGACCAGCCTGACCAACATGGTAAAACCTCATCTCTACTAAGAATACAAAAATTAGCTGAGCATGGTGATGCCTGCCTGTAATCCCAACTACTTTGGAGGCTGAGGCAGGAGAATCACTTGAACCCAGCAGGTGGAGGTTGCATTGAGTGGAGATCATGCCACTGCACTCCAGCCTGGGTGGCTCACTGAGACTCCATCTCAAAAAAAAGCCAGGTGCGGTGGGCATAGTGGTACGCACCTGTAGTCTCAGTTACTCAGGAGGCGGAGGCAGGAGAATCTCTTGAACCCAGGAGGCAGAGGTTGCAGTGAGCTGAGATTGCCCTCCAGGAACTGAGGACTAATAAAAATATGGAAGTACAGTCAGTCCAGGGAGCATTGAGGGTGGTCCCATAAGATTATAATAGGGCTGAACATTTTTATCCCTATGATGTCATAACTGTTGTTGTAGCACAGTTACTTTATTTTTTTAAGATACATTTTGTGTAGCCTAAGTGTATGGTGTTTATAAAGTCTACAGGAGTGTACAATAATGTCCTAGGCCTTCACTCACCACTGACTCACTCACCCAGAGTAAATTCCACTCCTGCAGGCTCCATTCATGGCAAGTTACCTATACAGATTGTCAACCTAAAATAATCAAAAGGCTCAGGATCCAGTTAAGAGTTTATTTAAGCGCAAAGTGTGAAGGCAGCTGTCAGGGGACACACATACAGACACCAAAGAATAGTGATTAGTGCTGGTGTGGGGAAAAGGGATAATTTATATAGACGAAAACGGAGGTGCTAGCATACAGGTGCTATCACACAGAGGCTAGCATACAGATGTAGGGGTTGATTGCCTGCTATTGATTACACTCTTGGGCTTGCTTAACATTGTAAGGAGGTAACAATCACCAGGGTCTCTGTTACCAACATCATTTATTTTTGAGGAAAGCACAGGGAGTTGGATTAACGTGTAATGTCTCAACACAAAGGTCAGGAAGCAATTGTCATGAGCCAAAGGCAAACAACCATATTATGTAACTCAGTTTCCAGGCTTAACTTTTTTCCTTTGGTGTCATAAATTGGGAAGGTTCTGAAATGTTATTTTCTTTTTACAAGATGTATCATTTTTATACTATATTTTTACCTTTTCTGTGTTTAGATACACACATAGCATTGTGTTACAATTGCCTATAGTATTCAGTACTGTAACATGCAGTACAGGTTTATAGCCTGGGAGCAATAGGCCATACTGTCTAGGATCCTGTAAGTAACACCATGTGATGTTTATACCACAATGAAATTGCCTAACACCACATTTCTTAGAGTGTATCTCTGTTGTTATGTGCTGCATGGCTGTGTTGGATGATAAGGGTCCAGGTGATTTTCTAGAAAGATCAGAGAAAGAAACTTCCTTATCAGCAGTTGTAGTTTCAGAAACTCACTAATAGTGTGTGATACTGGATTCACATGATGGCACCAGGCTTGTATAGCTGGTGAATGGATGGCATCTAGAGGAAATCATAGCTTAGGCCATGGTTTGGGGGCAGATTTGGGGAAGAGAGCCATCCCTGAGATGAGAAGCCTCCTGGACCACAGTGGTTTCTTCCATTCTGTGCCTTTTTGTGGCACCTACTCTGTATCATTGACGGATTGTTAGGGAAATACGATTAAGAACATAATCTTCCAACCCAGAAAACCTCTCCACAAATGTAGAAAAGAAATTTTATTATTGAAGAATTATTAAACCCAATTGTGATACACATCACAGGCAATGCACTAAAGAGATTGCAAAGACAGAAAACCTTTATATCTTAAGTGAATGCAACCCAATGCATTGGGTAGGTTTTGCAGTTTGGAGTCAGTGACAAGTTAGGTCCATCTCTTCCCAGGAAACTGAGAGATTAGTTTTCTTTGTTAAGAGGTAAACTTTGGTATATTAAGATGTTAGAGTTTATTTGGGCAGACGTTAGGCAGCTCTAAACCAGAAGAGGTTCTGGGCTCTGACCAAAGGAGGAAAGGGGAAAGCTTTTATAGGGTGAATGAGGAGGCAGAGCAAAGAAACTATTTGGTGAAAGTTTGAGCAGTTTTTGATTTGGACTGTGTCTCTTGCACAGTTCCTATACTGTAACTCGTGCTCAGTGAGTGTGCTTCTGATTGGCTGAGCTTTAGTTTCATTTGTTAGGAATCCAGGGTGTTAGAGCCACCTCAGCCTAATGGCCTCTGTTCTTTGAACATCTTCCTTGATGATGAAATTCAAAGAGATGGCTAGCAGTTTCTTGAGGAAATTTTCCTGAGTTGTGAGACTGGCAAGTGTCTAGCCATTAAAATGATTTACATACATTTCAAAAGGAAAAATAAAGAAATTGTGAAAGAAAAGAGGATGATGGGGAATATCTTTTCCCTTGTTTCCAATAGGGAGAATCCAGCCTCTGGTTTTTATTTTGCCTTTGCCCTTACAAGTCAGGGAATGTGCCTGGCTTTTCAACCCCTTTCCTGGTTTTATGGGGACAAACCTTGGAGATGGTAAAGAGAAAGAAGCTGTGACCTAACACTTACACCTCTAGAAATGAGTCTGAGAGAAATAAGCTTTGTATGCCTTTCTGGTGATGTACGGGATACGCAATTCAGCATTTTTAGAGTATTAACAAAGTAGAAACAACCTAAACATCCACTACTAGGTGAGTTAAAGGAACTTGATCATACAGTGAAATACTGGGCAGCATGTAAACAGTGATGACTAGAATGCAATTATTTGTATATGTAGTTTTATTTTTATTTAAATATAGAACCATATTTGCATGGAAATCATCTGAAGAGACATAGCAAAAAGTTAACTTTTTCTGGTTGTAGAAAGTTAGATGAACACTTCTTGTTCTTTTGCTTATTGATCTTTTATAATTTTCTAATAAGCTTTTTAAAGAAGATGATTCTTCTTTTTTTGTTTTGTTTTTTAAGGGACAGGATCTTACTCTGTTGCCCAGTCTGGAGTGCAGTGGTGTGATCACATGTCACTGCAGCCTCAACCTCCTGGGCTCAGGCAAGCTTTCTGCCTCAGCCTTCTGAATAACTGGGACTACAGGCACATGCCACCACACCCAACTAATTAAAAGCATTTTATTTTGTGCAAAGTTGGGGTCTCCCTATGTTGTCCAGGCTGGTCTTTGAACTCCTAGGCTCAAGTAATCCTTCTACCTTGGCCTTCCAAAGTGCTGGGATTATAGGCACGAGCAACTGTGCCCAGCCAAGATGACTCTTAATATGGAAAGAAGGGGAGGTGGCCCTAGTTCAGAGCAGTGACACGCCATTTACTGAAGGAGGAGAGGTAGAAGAACAGGAGCTTCTGGGTGGGGAGGGAGACTCCTGACCATAGCCTCCTCTGGCTTGAAAGGTTATGTGGCCCACCACTTGGGACCTCTCCTGGCACAGCCATGCCTGGGACATTCTCATAGTCTTCCCTACATGAATGTCAGTGTCCTCTTTCCCAAGACTCAGAGATGGGCCTAAGTTGAGGCAGAACTAGGACTCAGTGACCGCCCCTCAGGCAAGCCAGGTGGTGTTCCACCTATACCTCCCTACATGAATGTGCTGGTGCCTCCTTCCAAAACTTGACTCTCAGGTGTCACCTGTAAATGAGAGTTTGGTCTAGGTGATTGGACATTTCCAAATCTAAAGTTCAATGTTTTCTTGCTCTAATTTTGTTTCATGATTTTCAAGGGCTTATCTTGTTTGGCCTCTTTGTTCAGGCTTCCTAAGGGGACAGTGTTTCACTCACTATAGGTAAATGATAAACATGTGCTTGGTAACCAAAAAGTTGTCCAGAAATACTTTAAATACTTAGAACCCTAAGTTGTGACAGGGTTGCTTCTCAGTTGTCCCATTGTGGGGATGGTCCTGGGTGAGCAGGAATGGGTTTGCCTTCCAGGAGTCTGTGACATTCAGGGATGTGGCCGTGTTCTTCAGCCCAGATGAGTGGTTGCACCTGGACTCTGCCCAGAGAGCCTTGTACAGGGAGGTGATGCTGGAGAACTACAGCAGCCTGGTCTCACTGGGTAAGGAGCTTTCCTCCTGATGCAGAATCTGCCACAAGAGCGCCTTAGCACTCTCCAGGGGGAGCATTTGGAGAGCTTGGCCAAGTCGACCCACAGGCACGCTCCAAGTGTGGCCATTGCCATTCCCTTTTTTGTACTGAGTGACCTTGGCTTAGTAGAGGTGATGAAGGGCATCTTTTCTCTGCTTTTCCTGTCCTTTGCCCACTGAGCTCTGTTCCCTGAGCCCCAGAAGATGTTCCTGCTGAGAGGAGTGCACAACCAGAGGCCTAATTTTCTTCCTGAGACCATCTCCTGATCATCCTCTAGAAGCCCAATTTTAAGCCCCTCTCAGAACAAACCTCCTCCTTCCTGGTACTGCCCCTCTGTCCTGGGCATTCTCGGGCTGGACCTGCATGCCATGATGGCCACTCATGTCTCTTTCTTGTTCATGAACAGGGATTCTCTTTTCCAAGCCAAAGGTCATCTCCCACTTAGAGCAAGGGGAAAACCCCTGGATGGTGGAGAGTGGAGTTCCCCAAGGCACACATCTGGGTGAGTGACAGAGTAATTTGGAGATGGGCATAACATTTTCTGACTGCCAGGGCACAATGAGGAGGCTGTGCTTAAGGGTCTCCCTGATGTGCCAGGCCAGTTGGGAATGCTGGGAAGGCAGATCCTTTCTCTCTACTTTTTTGATTACTTGATCCATCAGGTTCAGAGGAGGGTTGAATTCTCCCAACATAGGTTGCACTGTTTTCACATGTCTTGTAATTTGCAGAATGTGTAGTAGAGTATATCATGTGTAAAGGTTTATCGTTCTTTTATCTTCCTTTTTCTTTGCTTTTACTGGATTGATTCTTTTCCTAAATTATTTTCCTTAGTGGCTTGAACATACACTACTTTTTTTTTTAATCACTACAACCCTCATAATTTCATCCTGGAACCAACCATCTTTTACTTTTATTTCTTTGGTGTACAACTTATTATACATGGTTCAGCAGGGGGGAAAAAACAGATATATGTGTATGTATTTACATACCTGAAAGAAGGAAAGAAGAGGTAACAAACGGTAACAGTTACAGAATTTACGTGGGCTTCCACATACTCATCATGGCATTCTCCTCTTTTCTGTGAAACTGTAGAAAATAACGTGTCCCAGATCCTGGCTCCTAAGGCATGTCACTGAGTGCCTCTTAACCTCTTAGATGACTGTATCATAAGCTTCCCTATTCATTCTCCCATGAATTGTGTGTGTGCTTCTGGCAGTGGAGGAGGCCTCTCTCAGGCATTACCAGTTGCCTGGTGTTTATTTCTCACCTGGACAGGGCGTGGCTTTCTGGCTCAGTTCACTTTTGCATTTCCATTCATCAGCTCTGTCTTCATATTGTTCCCTTTGGTTTCACTAGAATATTTTCTGGAGTAATGTTTTTCAGAAAGGCTCATATGTGCAATATCTGTACATGTCTAAAATCAGTTGTTTTTTTCTCTCTGAGATTTGTGTTTTGGATCTAGAATTCTGGCATCCATTTTGTTTTGAGACGGAGTTTTGCTGTTGTTACCCAGACTGGAGTGCAATGGCATGATCTCGGCTCACCGCCACCTCCGCCTCCTGGGTTCAAGCAACTCTCCTGCCTCAGCCTCCCAAGTAGCTGGGACTACAGGCACACACCACCATGCCCAGCTAATTTTTGTATTTTTAGTAGAGACGGGGTTTCACCTTGTTGACCAGGATGGTCTTGATCTCTTGACCTCGTGATCCACCCACCTTGGCCTCCCAAAGTGCTGGGATTATAGGCGTGAGCCACCACATCCATTGTTTTTTTCCATGTTAGTGTTGTCTAAACTGCTTCACTCTCTGGGTATGGATTGCTGCTGACAAAGAATTCCATTGGTCCGATTCTATTTCCTGTATCGATAACTTGTTTCTTTTTTCTGCCTTCTCTTTGGAATCTTATAGGAAATCTTCTTTATCTTTGGAATTCAGACTCTTCCATAGGTTGTATTAAAGAGTATTTTTTTTTCTTTGTTATTTGGCACTTTGCTGGGCCCATTGCTTTGACGATTCAGTCCTTTCTTTCATTTCAGGGATCTTTTGTTTCTGCCACACTCCACCAACAATGCAAGGTAATTGACTACAAGAGTAGTGATATAACAAAATAGAAATTCAGTCAGAAATTTAGAAAATGAATATATGTGTAGTAAGGACCAGAATGGTAGCTATAAATGAGTTTCAAATTTCATTCTGAGCTTTTGGTTGGCAAATAAATATTGTTAACAAATTGTTAGTGTTGTTTTACAAGCAGGAAAAAAAAATTATTTTAAATTTGTACAAATTCTACATGCTATTATAAAAACAGAAGAGCAAGAAGAAGTCACCTGGAATTTTATCAACTATGATCAATTACTGTTTATTATCCATTCAAACTGTGTGAATATTTGTTTAAATGTGTCAGTGTGTGAGAAACAGAAATAGAGAAAGACACAGAAAGACTGATTATAGAGTTTGTTCTCAAGCCTGTTTTTAATTGTGAATGCCCTTCAGTTATTCAGCCCTCAGTGAATAGAGACCTACCTCATTGAAAGGACTGTATTGTATATTAAGCCAATTAAACAGTCTTCCTTTTGGATATTTTAGTTTCCAGTTTTTCCCTGTTATTAATGTTGCTAAGATGGTTATGGGACTACAAAGGCATAATATAAAGAGACAGAGGTGCCAAGAGTAAATCATCACAATACAAACCCATGAGTATTGTGATTGAAAAGGCAAGGCCTGTGGGTTAAACATCCACAAGGGAGTTTTCAAAACACTATTATTTCATTAAATTAAAGTCAGTAAAATTCAAACAAAGCACGAGTTACCATTTTTTCCTTATTAAATTACCAAGGATTAAGAAATATATATCTGATGTTTTGGCCCTGCTGTGGGTGATAAACAGTATTATTAGTGAGACTGTAACTGGTACAGTCTTTCTGAAAATGGTCCGGCTTTATTAAAATCAATTCTGGCTGGGTGTGGTGGCTCATACCTGTAATTTCAGCACTTTGGGAGGCCAAGGCAGGTGGATCTCAGGTTGGGAGTTCAAGACCAGCCTGGCCAAGAAGGTGAAACCTTGTCTCTACTAAAAATACAAAAATTTAGCCAGGTGTGATGGTGGGCACCTGTGGTGCCAGCTACTTGGGAGGCTGAGGCAGAGAACTGCTTGAACCCAGGAGGTGGAGGTTGCAGTGAGCCCAGATTGTGCCACTGCACTCCAGCCTAGGTGACAGAGTGAGATTATATCTCAAAAAAAAAAAAAAAAAAAATCAATTCCAAGTCTAGAAATTTATCTTAAGATAATTTCTGCACAGATAACTGTGCAGAGTTATAATGATCTTGTAAAAGAATGTTTATTATGACATGAGGCATCACTGCCACAAAAGGAAGAGGCTAAATGACTCTCAAAAAGTGATTTATTAGATGATGATGTGTTCATGCATTGGACATACTGTGTAGCCATTAAAATGATGTTGTCAGCCAGACAGTGGTGGCTCATCTGTGTAATACCAGCGCTTTGGGAGCCTGAGATGGGTGGATCACCTGAGGTGAGGAGTTGAAGACCAGCCTGGCCAATATGGTAAAATCCCGTATCTACTAAAAATACAAAAATTAGCTGGGCATGGTGGTGGGTGCCTGTAGTCCCAGTTACTTGGGAGGCTGAGGCAGGAGAATTGCTTGAACTCAGGAGATAGAGGTTGCAGTGAGTTGAGATCGTGCCACTGCATTCCAGCCTGGTGACAGTGTGAGACTCTGTTTCAGAAAAAGAAAGATTACATTTATTGAGATGAAGAGAAGCTCATGATTTTTAAGTGAAATGAGGGTAAAGGAAGCTTAATTTCAATCTACCATTTTATTTTTTACTTAAAAGTGATTTTTTTATATGTAGAAAATTCTGGTGAGCTACATCCCACATATAATAGTGATTACAATTGCATGATATATTTATGGGTAAGCTGTATGTTCATTTTTATAGTTTTCTGTTTTTCTTATAATGATTATATATTTCTTTTGTAGTTAAGAAAATAAAAGCTCTTTTATAAAATGCATTCATTTCTTTTGAGTCAGTGATTCCATTTCTTATACTGTATCTTAAGTAACCAAAAAGGTGGACAAAAAATTTTTCCCAAGAATGATTCCTCAAAATCACGATAATGGCATTGGTGTCCACTGAGCTGCCCCAGACCAAAAACTAGGAGTCATCCTTGAGTCCTCTTTTTCATTGCCGCTGTGCTCTATTCTTAGGTGAAGATACCTGCCAGTGCTACTTGCAGAACATCCCAAATATGCCCACGTCTTTCTATCTCTCATCACCACATGACAGTGCCAGCCATCACCATCTTCTTCCAGGAAGAGTCCTGTTCTGCAGCTGCCCTTGTTCTCTTTCTCCCCGACCCCATTACAGTTTGTTTTTCACACAGCAACCAGAGTGATCCTTTTTAAACAAAAATGTTGTGTCATGTTCTTTCTAGCCCTCAGTAATGCTGATGAAATTCCAGTATCTTCCTGTATCCTAGAAAACTCCATGATACAGCCTGGTCCACCTCTTTTCCTAACTGGTGACACTTTCCCCTTGTTCACTCTGCTTCAGCTACCATGGATTGCTGTGTGTCCTAGAACACAGGAGGCTTATTCCTGCCTAGGACCTTTGTGTTACTATTTGTTCTGACTGGAATCACCTTTATACCCACATTCACATTTTTGCCTGGCCAGTGCTTGTTATTTAGATCTCATCTTTAATTTCATTTTCTCATCACCTGGTTTAAAATAGCAGCCTATTCACTCTTATTACACAGCACTTTGTTCTTGTTTTCTTACTGTTTTCATCACTCCTTTGTACTTCTGTTGATTTGTTACTTGGTCATTGTCTGTACCACACTGCTAAAATGTAAGCCTTGAGAGTCTGCCCTTATCTGGCTTGTGCCCTGTCATTCCCAGACTCTTGACCTTTGTGTAGCACAGAGTAGGCACTCAGTAAATATTGCTTAAGTGGATGCCATTATTTACAGCCCTCTGAGAAAGCCTAGAGTAGCACTGCTTGAGACCCTATGTTTTGGGGAGCTATTCTCTTTCATTTATTTTCAGCCTCTCTGCAGTTTTCCCTTGGGATTTACCTGAGTGCACTGGGAGATGAAGCTGAGTAGTGACATAGGCTGTCTCAGAAAGGTCTCATACCCTAGTATGCTGTCCCCTCAAGTTCCACAGCCCACCTACATGTAGGTTTCTTCAGACCCTTTCCACCCACACATCTGTCAATTTGCTTCCTTTCTCCTCTTCTTTTTCCCTTCCTTTCCTAAGATTTCAAGGCTCTATTTTTTAACTATCCTTGTATGTTTTTATGTCACTTTTTTTATTAGTGCAAGAGAGACTTACATGTTTTGTCTATTTTAGGATGGGAGAGCTTGTTTGAAACCATAGTTTCTGAAGAAGAAAATCAGGAAGTCATGAAAAAACTTATATTTGATGGCCCATTTGACTTCAAGTTGGAGAAAACCTACATACAGGAAGATAAATTAGAGAAGCAACAAGGCAAAAAGAACAAACTTTTCAGGAAAGTGTTAGTTAACATCAGAAAAGTTTACATGAAGGAGAGGAGCTTTAAAGGTACTGAACTTGGGAAAAACCTTGGTCTAAAATCATCACTTATTAGAAAACCCAGAATAGTTTCCAGAGGAAGGAAACCGCATTCACAGCAGTATTCAGTTCTCTTTAAACAACTGGGAGTCAACACAGTGCGTAAATGTTATAAATGTAATATATGTGGGAAAATCTTCCTCCACAGTTCCTCCCTGAGTAAACACCAGAGAATCCATACTGGAGAGAAGCTCTATAAATGTAAGGAATGTAGGAAAGCCTTCAGCCAAAGCTCATCCCTAACTCAGCACTTGAGAGTTCATACAGGAGAGAAACCATATGTATGTAGTGAATGTGGAAAAGCCTTCAGTTTCACCACATCTCTTATTGGACACCAGAGAATGCATACTGGAGAGAGACCTTATAAATGCAAGGAATGTGGAAAAACATTTAAAGGTAGTTCCTCTCTTAATAATCACCAGCGAATTCACACAGGAGAGAAGCCCTATAAGTGTAATGAATGTGGGAGGGCCTTCAGTCAGTGCTCATCTCTCATTCAGCACCACAGAATTCATACTGGGGAGAAGCCATACGAATGTACTCAGTGTGGGAAAGCCTTCACTTCAATATCACGGCTAAGTAGGCACCATCGAATTCATACTGGAGAGAAACCCTTTCATTGTAATGAGTGTGGAAAAGTATTCAGTTATCATTCAGCTCTTATTATACATCAGAGAATTCACACTGGTGAGAAACCATATGCATGCAAAGAATGTGGGAAAGCCTTTAGCCAAAGCTCAGCTCTCATACAACATCAAAGAATTCACACTGGAGAAAAACCCTACAAATGTAATGAATGTGGGAAAGCCTTCTCCTGGATTTCACGGCTTAATATACATCACAGGATTCACACTGGAGAGAAACCATATAATTGTAAGGAATGTGGAAAAGCTTTTAGTTCCCACTCAGGTGTTAATACTCATCGAAAAATTCATACTGGAGAAAAACCTTATAAATGTAATGATTGTGAGAAAGCCTTCAACCAAAGCTCAGCTTTAATTCAGCACCAGAGAATTCATACTGGAGAGAAACCATATAACTGTAAAGTGTGTGGGAAAGCCTTCAGACAGAGTTCATCCCTTATGACACACATGAGAATTCATACGGGGGAAAAACCTTATAAATGTAAAGAATGTGGGAAGGCTTTTAGTCAGAGCTCATCTCTTACTAATCATCAGAGGACGCATAATTGAGAAAAACTATAAATAAAATGCATGTGGGAACTGAAGCTTATTCCATACTGAATATCAAAGAATTCACTCTGGGGGAAAAAGTGATAAAGAGTAGTTAATTGTGGGTAAAACTTCACAGTTAGACCTCATCAAACATTGGAGACTTTATGATGCAGGGTAACCTTAAGAATACTAGGAAAGTTTCTATAAAATGTTATTCATATGTTCTTAAGTTATGAAATTGAGAATTTTTAAGATTGCAGGGTTAGTATTTGATTTTCTAGTGATGTATGCTAACAGCTACCAGCTTCGTGAGCATCACTGGGAAGCCTGCTGTTTATGTAAAAGTACAGCCATAAAATCCAGACTTCAGATAAATCTAGGATTCTATTTTTTGAAACTGTTATGCAAGCCAGTGGTACTAGAAAGAATGTTTTAGAAAAGAAATATGAACAGGTGACCTGTAGCTACCTCACTGTCACTAACATGTTTTTTAATAGTCTTAAAGCAGATTCTGTACTTCAGGGTAAGACTTTGAATTGTTTCTCTCTTTCTAAGCCATTTACCTGAGAAGAAAATCACTCCATAAACTATGCAGACATACTGCCCTTTGAGTTTTCTTCTTGACTGCTTGTTCTGAGTCAGATATAAAGTCACTTGAAGTCAGAGCACATGGTATTTCACTTGTTTTTCCCCATAGAAAGTGATTACCTTTGCTGTATTAAATTGGTAAGTAAAAGTCATTCAGACAACCACTGCTTTTGCAATTTACTGAAAAATGTCAGAAAGTATCTCACAATGTAGCCAATATGGGAGCACAACTTGTCTCCCAGGCTGTGCCTGCTTCTGTGAGTTCTCTGGTTACCACCCACCAGAAGGCCCAGGAACATGCAGAACTCAGGTCATCATCCCTGGACATAAAGTGAGCCAGATGACTTTCACCATTACTTCCTACTTTTTTGCCTTTGTCAGACAATGTTCATTTTCTCCCCACACTCTGAAAGTCACTGGGCAAATACTTAGGCTCTGAGTTCAGATGCTCTTTTCTCCAGAAAATGGATTTAGATCCTTTAACAAGTGATTTAAGCCCATTTCAGCATTTCTAAAATGCGAATCATAATATTAGCCAGCTAAAAATACTTCCCTCACAAGTCAAACTAAAATCATTGGGCTTTACAGATGCTAACATCTAGTTTAGCCAAGTTTATCAGTAAGGGGGACAACCACTTAAGGGCTGAAACCCCCATTTCATAAAGTGCTAGGTTGTTTTTCTGCCAAGGAACTTAAAAAAATAGAAAACAGGGAAGTGTTATTGGGAGCATAGCAAAAATCATAGAATTCAGCTTTTGCCTCCTGGGTTACTCAGTCATACTGTTTCAAACTTGTGAAGAACAGACTTTTAAGGATCAATTGAATCCCTCATCTCTGATACTCACTTCCCACAACAGTTTTTTTTTTGTCTCTACCTAAATTGGGAAAATTCCTAGGAAAATATAACTTCCCTAAGGATTAATACTTTTTTTTTTTTTTTTTTTTTTTTTTTTTGAGACTGAGTTTCGCTCTTGTTACCCAGGTTGGAGTGCAATGGCGCGATCTCGGCTCACTGACAACCTCCGCCTCCTGGGTTCAGGCAGTTCTCCTGCCTAAGCCTCCCGAGTGGCTGGGATTACAGGCACGCGCCACCATGCCCAGCTAATTTTTTTTGTATTTTTAGTAGAGACGGGGTTTCACCATGTTGACCAGGATGGTCTCGACCTCTTGACCTCGTGATCCACCCGCCTCGGCCTCCCAAAGTGCTGGGATTACAGGCTTGAGCCACCGCGCCCGGCCTAGGATTAATACTTTTAAAATCATCAAAAAGTTAAATATGAATTAAAATCCTACAATGAACACATTAAGCCCAGTTATTTTTTAAGATAAGATCTGTCAAAACTTCAACAAATAGAT